CATCTTCCCCCTATCTCTGTCCCTTAAATTTGGTCCCATACACTCTATTTGGTTACTTAGAAATCGTATGAATAGGCAGAAAAGCTGGAATTTTTTTTGGTTTCGTTTTCACATTTACTAAGCACCCAAACGGAGTTTAATCTTTTTTAATTTGGAGATGTGCTCCTGGATCCGATCTGGAAGTATCCAATTGATTCCTTTGTGTCCAAAAATGTCATGTTCAGCTATTTATTCCTCAGTCAGTCTTCCTTTACTACTCTCTCTGTGGGATTCAGATTCAGATTATTGCTTCGTTGCTATTCTATATTGGTCGGATCGAATTGTGCCTTTTGTACCATGCATTAGTTAAGGATATTTGGAAATGAAATTGGGTTCAATCAGGCATTAGCGTGTCACAATTTTAGAGGTCTCTGATTCATAAAAACAGTGCTTCTTAATGGGTTTCCTATTTAGTCATAAACCTTAAACTGTCCATCAAAATTATTCTTTCTTTTTTGGTGGCAATATTGTTCTTCATGCCTTCCTAGTGGACCTTATTTGTACTGATGAATTGCACATTGTTCTTTCCTAATATCTTCGTTTGTCATTTATATACCACTTTGGATTATTAGATACGTTTGTTTTAATTATGCTTTTTCCTCATATGAAATGTAATCACTTTTTTTTCATTCTTTTTTCAGGGGTAGTCTTAAATCACCTTGGTCCCGTAGGAGAAAAAAACATGCCCTTCTACCCAAACAATGGAAAAGTTTTTTTACACCTGATGGGAAACTCACTGATGGAGGTCTCAAGTTTTTGAAGAAAGTTCGCAGTGGAGTATGTTATTGACTTTTGTCAGACCTACTTTCTATTTTCTGTGTAATTGTTTTTAGGCGTTTCTCCTTGTTATTAATGTATGTGCAACAGCTGTTTGATATTAATCACTTACACTTTCTGATGCAGGGTGTTGATCCAAAGATCCGTGCTGAAGTGTGGCCATTTCTTCTTGGAGTGTAAGTTTTTTTATTTCTATGTCATTGCATTAATGTTTCAAGTTGTGTATGCTATATATAAATTAGTCAGTGTGAGATTTAGAAATCTTTTGAGAACTTCTTCCAATATTGAATATTAGTTTGCCTGGTCCTGGGGAATGCTTGGTTCCATGGACCCTTGCAGGTATTTGTTATGAATTATGATGAACTTCTCATCTATCACCCAGTTATACTTTGTCTTTTCTGGTGTGTCCATTTTCTGAGTTGGATTACATGCACAAAGAATAGAACCATCATAACAGTTGATTTTGTCTCTGGTTTCATTATGTACTTTCTGTGTTTATCTAGTGGCTGTGATTTGGTACACGAGGGACTGTTGAAATACCTATGTGTATGTTTTATAAGTTCCAGTATTTATTAAAGTCAATTATCATGGCAATCTGCATGTAAGTGCACGGTGTTAAGTTATGATGAGGATTTCTTTTTGTAATTCTTTTTTCATTATTTATCTAGCTTAGTCTGCTGTCTGGAAGTGTAGCCATATTTCAGACCTTTGATTCCAGTTTTTTGCATAAATGATAGTGGAGCCTCACCTCTATTGCCTTGTAGTCTCTCAAGAAAAATGACATTATAAAAGCTTTTTTCTTTGGCTGCGGGAAATTTTTGCCTGTGGATTATGGTGCTGGCTAGTTTAACATTCATTTGCTCTTTATCAACAGCTATAACGTGAACAGTTCCATGGAAGAAAGAGAATCTGTTAAAAATCAGAAAAGGTATTCATTCAGTTCTTTGGCTGCTTCCCATACGTATGCATTGGTGATCATTATCAAATTTCTCTTGCTCTCTCTCTCTTACATTCTTTTATTCATTTGCAACGCAGAAAAGAATATGAGAACTTGCGGAAACAGTGCCGGAGAATTTTAACACATAGTGATAAGAGCTTTAAGTTGAAGGAAGCTTCTGGAAACAGTAGCACCGAGGGCAGTGGGGATTTCAGTCAAGTTTTAGATTCTTCTGGCCAAGGGGATGTTGCAAGTGCCAGGGAGTCCATTTCAACTGAGGGAGGAAGCCAGTTGGCCAAGGATCCTGATAAGACGGTTGGCCATCAAGGTGTTCAGACTTCTAAATCATGCGAAGGAGATGATGAGAAGAGTGGGGTCACCTGTGAAGATGCCTGTGCTGGTGGTGAGACAGAATCAACTGATTCTGATTCCTCTGAAGACGCTGATATCACCCGACCATTACTTGCCACTGAAGTAACTGGAGAAAATTATGTTGATGACAGTGCTAAGGAGAGCTCCTCTCCCTCCAGTATAGAAAACAAGTCCAAATTCCACACAGCAGAAGATTTTGCCACATGGCAGAGGATCATCCGCCTTGATGCTGTGCGTGCAAATGATGAATGGATCATTTATTCACCATCACAGGCTGATGTATCAGAGATCAAGGCACAAAGACTAGCTGAGAGTGTCGGGCTGAAGGATTACGATCACTTGGAGCCGTGCCGGATTTTTCATGCTTCTCGCCTGGTTGCAATCCTGGAAGCATATGCGGTGTATGATCCTGAGATTGGTTACTGCCAGGGTATGAGTGATCTACTTACTCCAATCATCTCAGTGATGGAAGAGGACCATGAAGCCTTCTGGTGCTTTGTGGGTTTTATGAAAAAGGCACGGCATAATTTCCGGCTGGATGAGGCTGGAATCCGAAGGCAGCTTGGCCTTGTTTCCAAGATTATCAAGTGCAAAGATGTTCCTCTCTACAGACACCTGGAGAAGCTTCAAGCGGAGGATTGCTTTTTTGTGTACAGAATGGTGGTGGTTCTCTTCAGGAGGGAGTTGAGCTTTGAGGACACTCTTTGCCTCTGGGAGGTAATGTGGGCAGACCAGGCTGCAATCAGAGCGGGGATCGCCAAGTCGGCTGGGGGGAGGATGAGACTAAGAGCCCCTCCTACCGATGATCTCTTGCTCTATGCAATAGCGGCCTGTGTGCTACAAAGAAGGAAGCTAATAATAGAGAAGTACAGCAGCATGGAAGAGATCATGAGGGAGTGCAATAGCATGGCCGGCCGTCTGGATGTTTGGAAACTTTTGGATGATGCCCATGACTTGGTGGTGAACCTTCATGACAAGATTTAGAAACACCCAATGCTAATGGTAGGCTTTGGTTTTTTCTTTGTTTCTTTCCCTTTTTAATTATTTTTAATTTGATGTTGCACCTGCTGAGGATCCCTTTGAAAGCAAGGATCTTGAGGTCATGTTCACACTGCTTGAAACAAGCATCTGATAGGCACTTTCTGTATTGGGAGTAAAATTATGGGATTTATATATATAAATGTATTGCCCGCACTCTGTGCTTCTGCAGAGTGACTGTGGCACAGCAATGCAGAATTAGTAATTCAGATCAACCTCACTCTCATTCATAAACGAATTTTCCACTTTTGAGTGGGATGATATTGGTTCTTTCACTCCCATTTTTCTTTTTGCCATTGGAAGGAAACTTTCAAGGAAGTGAGTGAAGTGTAACGTGTCTCAATTTACGATATTTATATATATATTTTGAAAATCGATCTACGTTTTGAAACTAAATAAATGATTTCTGACGTATAATATTTATAATATCGAGTATCAATAGGATTTGGTTTGAGATAGTATTTATATTTCCAACTTTAGCACAACACTCATCGCAAACAAGGTTGCTTTTACTAGTCTAGATTGAAAGAGTGGGAGTATATATATATATATATATAGTTTTCTGCTTCTTGTGTTGTGAGGGATCATTCATGACAGTGGCGTTAGTTGGAGTTGGAGGACTGCTTGTTGCGCTGGATGATGCCGTTAATGTTGCGATGGGCAGGTGGATTCTTCTCAATTTTAAGCCCCTCCTCAAAAAACTCAAATACAGACCAAGACCGTTTATCAACAGAGCCTATCCAACAGATATTTCCCGACCACGAAATAGACGAAGAAATCCAAACAACAACAACAAGGCTTGTTTTCAAGTTATCAAAGCTTAGTATATGGTCTGATAAAAACAGCAACAAGATTAGTATATGGAGCTGCAAACGCACAGAGCTAATCCACGACATACAAACTAAACTAATAGTGGCACAGCACAACTAGTTATTTGGATTCGAACTCCGACTTGGGTGCAAAGTGGGAAGCATATCCACTCAAGCCAATATCTGCTCATTGTTTGTAATTGTACCAATGGAAATAATTACTGGGAATAAATATTGACAGTTTTTCAGGATTTTATTACTTTGTCTGATTTATTTTTTGGTGGGGAAGGGGGCTGACGGTGGGACGTGGGATGGGGTAGGATTTTTGTTGTTGTTAAATATTAAATTTTATATTGATGTTAATTATTGTTTACTTAATATATTTAATATTAAACAAATTGACGAAATTGAAGTTTAGGACTTGATTTGTTAACTGCTGCAACTACGCTGACGAAATCAAAAATTTTAAAATTACAGTGACCAAATTTGATTTTGAGCCAAATTCTAGTGACCGAAAATGTAATTAATCCTTATTTTGGTCTGTCATTTGGTTTGGAAAGTTATTACTTTTTTCTTAGTAAAGACATATTTTATGAAAGGATTAATTGCCATTTTGCCCTAGTTTCATAATGGTCAATCTACTACTTATACTATTTTTTTCATGGACTTAATGGCATTTGAACATTACTACAAGTTTTTCCAGCTATCATTGGATTAGAAAGAAAGAGGATTTGTGGATTTTTAAGCATAAACGATGTCGTATAGTACTTTACTTTTAAAAATATAAAGGAAAGCAAATCCTGGCCGCAAGATTTATAGTGGACAGCTAGGATTAAAATTTCAGGATTATTCGTATTCTTTACGAGTAAAGAAAAAACATATTTAAAAATTTAAAGATTAAAACGGTAATTTCTTTTGTAAAAGCTGGGAATATGTTCCCAACTTACCCATACATTTTTACTGTGTTAGTGAATTGGAAGTAAAAGTACGTTTATGACTTGTTACTTTATTTATTTAACCCCTCCTTAATCCGTACAGCTGCGTAATTTTGATATTTTTTTTGGCTTCCCTCAGTCTTCGTCTTTGAAACAACCGGATCTCATCTCTCTACGACCTTTCTGTGTGTTCGCAGTCGGATCAATCTTAGAAATCTCATCACTCCTCCGATCTCACAATGTCCACGGCGCCGGAAGAACCCCAGTCCCAGAACGGACTCGAACCGGACCCGACGACAAATCCGAAACCCGAATCCGAATCAGAACCAGTGGCACAGCCTGAAGCTATACCAGAACCGGTGCCAGAGCCCGAAGCTAAACTCGAGCCAGTGCCAGAGCCCAAAGCTAAACCCGAGCCAGTTCCAGAGCCCGAAGCTAAACCGGAACTCCAACCTGAACCAGAAGCAGTGGTAACCGATGGTGCGGATCCGAAGGTGGAGGAAGTCGTAGAAGCCGCGATCCAATCGAATAACCAAGCAAGTGCGCATCCAGAGCTGAAAAAGGACGAAGGAAGCCGTACATTCACAATGAGAGAGTTGCTCGGTGGCTTGAAAAATGACCAATCGAACGACGTCGCTAATGATTCTAGCTCCCCATACAGTTACAGGTTTGCATTCCTTCATTTTATTGTTTCTGCATTTCTTTTAGGGGTGAAATTGTGCAAAGTTCTGTTTTTTATGCTTGAATTTCGGTTATATGTAGACAATTGCTCCAATTCGTAATGTTTGCCTGCAATACCCACTTTCGGGTTTTCTAAGACTGAAATTCATACAAAGAATGATATTAGTTTCACTTCAAATTGGTTATGGTTGATTAGCATGTAACTGTTTTTGACTAAATTTTTTCAGTTTTAGTCTTATATCAAACTATTATGAATGAAATTTGTGGTTGGGGCGGCAAAAATGTAAATTTTATATGGTCAGTGTAGTGGATGACCTTAATACTTTTTAACAATTTATTTACAACTTATTTGCCACCAATTTGTGGGTATGAATTGTATCAGTGAAGAAAGCCCACAGGAACAGCACTCAGAGCAGAACAATGCTGCAATGGAGTTGATCAATAGCGTCACAGGTGCCGATGATGATGGTCGGTCTCGCCAACGGGTTCTTACTTTTGCTGCCAAGAGGTACTGTCTTCTTTATCTTTTCTTCTTACTTGTCAGCTTGGTAGGTAATAGTATAATTTTATAATTTACTACCAAAACAAAGCTTGAGTTGTTTGCTATGTGCACGATCACACTTCCTTTCTATTTTTTATTTTATGGAACTATGCGATGCTTGCAACCACAGGTTGTTTTCCTGGAGTGCTGATTTCCTGAAATTCCTTTTTGTATGTACATTGTGTAGGTATGCTAGTGCAATAGAGAGAAATCCAGATGATTATGATGCGCTATACAATTGGGCACTGGTTCTTCAGGTTTGAGATACTGTCTTGTTTGATTCCTGGTTGGATTTAGTTATTGTTTTGATAATTAAATTTCAACCAGATGGTTTTCTTTGTTTTTAATTATTTATTAGCAAGAGAGTTGTGAAAATCATGTTATTTTATAAGGGTTGGAGGCACATGATAGTAAGAACAATATGCTGGTTGAAACTCTGTATACTGCTATATGTGGTTTCCTAAGCTAGAGAACATCACTCATTCTACATTAATCAACATTTTCCCACTCACTCTACATTAGTCAACGTTTTCTAACTGGGTCATATGTTTGGAGTGAAAAAGGCTAAAGTTACCTTACATATGTTGACTCTCTCCTCCAATAATGTTCGCTTAGATGTTTCAGTTTCTCTATAAATGATTTCATAACAGGAAGTTTCAATTGAAATTCTTATTTTTAAGCACATTTTGTCTTCCTCTGAATTTTGCATCAGTGCGAATTACTCTGTTAATCAATCCTCGTTTGGAATGCAGGAAAGTGCAGATAATGTTAGTCCAGATTCTACTTCTCCTTCTAAAGATGCTTTGCTTGAGGAGGCTTGCAAAAAATATGATGAGGCTACTCATCTATGCCCAACACTTCATGATGTATGTTTGCATATCCTTTGTCAATATAATCTCATTAGATGGCCAGCGAAATTAGTGATCTCAAAAGTGCTATCATTACTTGATAATTTCTTATTAATTATATCACTTGTGTGAAAATAATGTGTTATCATTACTTGCCAGGCTTTCTATAATTGGGCTATTGCTATCTCTGATCGGGCAAAAATGCGTGGTCGTACAAAGGAAGCTGAAGAACTATGGAAGCAGGTTAGACTACAATTTCAGTACTTCAGCCTTGCAAGCGATACAGAGTCTTAGAAAAGGTTCTGCTCTTGTTAGTTTCTTCTGCCGCTGTTGTGGCAACACTGAGACTTGGCAACTGGATTCTAGCACTTGGAAGCTGGATATGCCTCTAATATTCAAAAGTGAATAGCATTTAATATGAATAATCTGCTACTTCTTATCTGCCTCATTTGTTGTAACGTTAGGACTTAAGGACTAGGTGATCTTTATGAGCTTTAGGAAATTAGGAACTTAGGAGTCTATTACTTAAAGCAATTTTGTTTCTCGTCAGATATGGCG